TACCAAACAAAAGGCGTCGCTGATGCTGGTTATCCTCCCCTTCTTGTTTTTAATATGTACTGAACTGAGCCACCAGCCATGGGAGGTTTTGTATTTAATACATACCCACTAGAAGGAGATATCAGGCCAACTTTGAAAGCCTGATTTAAAGTGATTTTTTTAAAGTTCTAGACATAATTTTTTATAGTCTGCTATAAGGAAATGTGAGGATAGGATTCCAGGGAATAAATCTATCAGCAGGTTTCTTTGAGTTATTTGGTTTGATCGAGGGCTCATATTTTGTTAACTCACAGAAAAACTAGAATTTTCTATGTCCTTAAGCCTTAAAAATGCTAAACTATCAAGGAAAATAAAGTGAGAGGCATATTTTTGATATGTGAGTCAGAAATAGAAAATGTTATGGAAGACATGCTTGCATACGAAAGGTTTACTTTCTCAAATGTGGTCTGTGTCATTAAGGGCAGCAGTATGGGGTCTGACTTTGGGTTTAAAAATATCTGGAGCTCCTTTTTAAATCTTTTGAACCTTTAAACAACGTGTGTCGCTGTAGAATGATGGATCATTTAGAAATTAACTCATAACCCTTCATAGATTGATAACCAATCTACGAAGGGTTGGTTATTAGTGGTGACCTGGTGGTTAGGGCATAGAGCTTGGATCCTAGAGGTTCTGAGTTTGAGCCCCACTCCCACAGACTGCCACTCTGCGTCTCTGAGCAAAGACCCATAACCCCCACACTGCTCTCCAGGTGCCGCACATTGCAGAGAGTAATTTTGGTTGCTTTGTACTTGTGACAGTTTAATAACATAAAGTTGAATTCTACTGCAATTCTAACCAGCAACACCTGATCAACTAAAATCATTGCTGATGATTTTCCACCCTGGAAACCTCTCATGCTTCAGCAAATATGCATCTCATCCTTTCCACCTCTAATCACTTTTTTTGAAAATAAATAAATTAGTTTTTCTAAACTTATTTTTCACCAAAAAAAAAAAAAAAAGCATCTTGGGTTTCTAACTAGCTGATTTTGAAGGATCTTATTTAAAATGTTCTTAGAAGCATTAAACTAAAATGACTGTAAATCCTTGACATTATTCTTCAGCATTTTTGACCGTTTGTGAAATATGATTGCTGTATTTTAAAAAGTGTTTTTTTGTTTTAAATAAGATTAGTTTGCATGCTTTTGTTGATCTTGTCATGCCCAGTTTAGCTTTCGTACGATGTTGATAGACTTTCATATTGAAACCAACAGATGAGCATGAACCAAGGTGGTTGACTTCAGTATTGTTTGTAGACATTTGTAGTTTTACATAATGGTGTTTAAATCGATACTGTGTTGCATTGTTTGATTTATCTATAAAATTTAAGGGCTGTTGCATTTTAAAACAATCATTGTTAACAACGAGTTATGCAGATTATTTTTTATGTCGCTTGATTTTTTTTTATTTGATAAAAACAAAAAAGAAATTTTAATTTTATGTGATAGACCAACATAAAGGGGAGTGAGGGTAGGGTTGGGAGATAACTTTTAGGTGTAGGGGACATCGATCAACCATGGTTTTAATTTGCTTAATTCTATTTGGTTGATACTTTCTAAAACCAGCATTATGGCTTTGAGGCAGTTTTGGATATGCCTCTACCTGCTTTAATGATTTAGACGCTTTAGACCGGCCCTTCAAACATTCTCATGTGCATTTAGTGTTAGACTTTGACTAGAACATCCCATTGTCCCGCTGTATATACAGTATAGTTGTCCTTCTGGATGTTTAAGCCATCAAAGTGAATAAAATGTTCTTCCCAAGTGTTCTCCAGCCTGTAAGAGGTTGTCTTCCAGTATTGTCAATTTTTCCCTAAAAGCTAACCAGATTCTTGCTTCTCCTGAAGATAATGAATAGAGCAACCTGCTGCTTCTCCAGTTATGGCCTCCTGGCTATTGGCGCTCTAGTCCAAATTTACCAGCGTGGGGAAAATGTCTTTTCTTCAGGGCACAGAAAAGAATTTCAATGTCATTCAGTTACATTTGGATTTCATGTTTCAGTATTTCTGATTCAAAACTGTTCAAATTAGTCAAAGCTAGAATATGTGCTGTCAGGGGCGGATTTAGGACATTTGGAGCCCAAGGCAAAAACAGGCATGGGGCCCTCTGATTTGAGAAGACAACACATAAAACTGACCCATTATACAGATACAGAAATTTCAATACAATAGATATACATTATTTCTTCTACGTTTTGTCCCTTTTCTTGTTGTTTTCCTCTCTATGTTTTGTACTCAGCTGACTTTTCATTCTGTCTCATAAGGAATGAAATTTTTTTCCCATGCACAAAGCTCATTTAACTGATTTCCAAAAAGGCGACGGCAAAAGTAAATAACCCAGTCCTTCTTTTCACTGTAGACAAGCTGTGATCTGCTTATATTTTCTCCATTTTTCATTTGTATGAAATAATAATAGCTGCATGAATCATGACAGCAGACAAGATATAGGAGAGCAGGAGGCGGGGTTATTAATCTACTTGCTCTTTAGTGCAGAGTTCGCTGCTTTTAGATGTTGTCACCAAAGTCTCCACTAGCAGAAAAAAAGTAAATTTTGGCGCTAGGTGCTTTTTTGAAATAAAAGTGCTAGAGGGGTCTGAAAAGTTGCTAAATTTAGCGCAATGTTTGTTTTCAAATGGTTTGCTGCTGTCTGTTTGAACCTTTCTGAACATGTGCAGCAAATGGACTGATCCAATATGGTGGACACTGAAGGGGGGGGAGGGCTGAGACACATTTATTATAAGCGCTCTGATGTATTTTTATCAAAAGCACAATTAATGTGCACAAATAAGGAATAGTTGTATTAACCATACATGTTAACAGAGTTTTATGGGGCCCCAGGCCTAGAACTGCCTAATGGTAAATCCCCCCCCCCTGTGTGCTGCATTATTACATTCGTAAGAACTAATGGAACAGCTGTGTAGAGTTCTTGTCCTGTCAATAGAGTAGGATTACAGTGAAATAATGGGTTTTACAAGAGTATTATGTTCAAGGTCTTTGGAATAAAGATTAAAAGTTAAAGATATGCTTTGGAACATTATGTCACTGCACAATCATGATTCAGGAATAGTACAAAGTGACACGTTTAATGAAAATTATCAGTTTCAATGAAATCAGAAACTTACAGAAAAAATATTTTTTTTTGTTTCAAAATAGCTTTGAGATCGAGACCTCAGATCAAGTAGATGTAAAATGGTGATCTCATCTAAAAAAAAATCTAAGCTTAAAGTGTATCACCTTACGTTTTGAATCAGTTTTTGATGTCCATCATCATAAGGCATTTATGTAATATAATGTTTTAAGTATAGGGTTAATCACCAGCATGTTGGCCCATGTCCAGAACCACCCATGCTCCTGGCTATGCTAGTTAGCTTAGCAGTTTTTAATCATACTCCATCTTTAGCTGATCATTTAAACTTTGCTCTGTGATAGGTCAGGTCTGCTTTTTATTTATGGGTGTCAAAGTAAAGGGTGCCAAATCTAAATTAACCCTTGTGTTGGTCTATCATAATGTCGAAAAAATAAAACGTATTTAGCAGGAATGCTTCTGCAGGTGCTGTGTAAAACAAACTCGACTGTTAAGAACTAACTTGTTGAGGTGCATGATATAGAGAAAGCATGCCTTATTTCTGGCTGCAGCATGTGGTCAGGAAAAAAAGCAAAGATGTCACATTTGACTTTTTTATTGTACAGATTTCTTGTCAGATGTATTTGAATGCAACAGGTTTTTTTTCTAATGATCAACTTAGAATGTGTGATTAAACGAACTTTGTATGTGAAATAAAGGCTTAGCGCCTTGGTGGCTCCAGCAATAAACTTTGAAAGAAAAACAAAATAAAAAGAATGATTTTTTTTGTGCAAAACATTATTTTCCAGGCAGTTTAAAGTGATGCAGGAGCTACATTGCCACACAAACAATAAGAGTTACTCAGGCACTGAGAGTGGCTTCAGCTCAGCAGCATAAACATCAAAGTGTATGTATTTAGGCCAGTGTGACGTATGTAGCGTCTGTAGTGACGCCACAGTTGTTGTCCTTCATAGACATCAGGATGTAGCCATCGTTGCCCCAGTATGTGGACCAAGAGTTCTTAATCAGCCAGTATGGCTCTCCGTTCAAAACGCCATATCCCACTGCAAGCACAGCGTGGTCCAGGTCATCCGTGGTGTTTCCTGCAGGAACCACAGAACCAAAACCATTAGCCTGCAAAAAGGACCAAAAATGGTTGAAACACAAGAAA